TTTTTTTTTTTTTTTTTTTTTTTTTTTTTATGGATTGAGGGCTGTATGGATTTTCTGCCTCAGGACACTGTGGACACCAAATCCATATATTGAGATTACAAAAGAGTTCAAGAGGAAAGTGCATGAATGTCTGCAGAACACAGAACTATGGAGATACCTCCTGGCTTCGAAGCCCTGCTGAAAGATGGGTGTGAAGGGAAAACTCAGCCCATCCTCATCCTCCTGCTCCCGGGCTTCTGCCTCCCAGCTGCACCTGGAGAGCGAGCACGGAGCCAGATCCCRTTCTCCAGTGCAAGGGATGAACGTGTCCGGAAAAGCTGGGCAAGGCACATYCGGGGGTCTATTTCCCAGGAGGCGAGTGCCTGCGCTGCACGAAAGTGGCACTGACTGCATGGGATCACATCTAAAAGTGATGATTTGGGTGACGCTCATCCCTATCCATGAGGGAACAGCCTGTGGCTACACAGCAGCTCGTATCCCACCAACACTGCACTGAAAGCCTGGGGAGTTTGCACTTGCTGGGGTCCAAAATGGGTTCCTTGGGGTCCCAACTGGATTCCTGAGGGGTCCCAGGTTCCTGGGGGTCCCAATCACCCTCCCGAGGGTCCCAACCGCCCCGGCTCCCCTTGCTGCTCCCTCGCACCCCTTCTCCACACGGGTGCCCACCCCGGCGCTGCCTCCCCGGGGAGCGGGGCGGCCGGTCATCGCGCACCTTGAGCATGCGGATCTCCCTCAGGGCGATCTTGCGGATCACCGGGTCCTCCTCGGACTCCAGGAACTTCTTGATGGCCACGACCTGGCCGGTGTCTTTGTTGCGGCACTTGAAGACGACGCCGTAGGAGCCCTCGCCGACTTTGCCCAGCTTCTCGTAGCGCTCCATGGCGCCGCTCCCCCGCCTCGCCTCAGGGCGCCGCGGCGCCCCCACCGCCGCCCGCCATTTCGCGCCGTCTCCCCCCGGGCCGCCCCGCCCGGCCCGGCCCCGCCTCGCCCCGCTCTTGGCGCGGCGCCATCTTCCCTGCGTGGGGCTGCGGCGTCGCGACCGGTCTCCAGGGTTTCCATGGCCCTTTTCCCTCCCTGGCGACGGCTTCGCTTCTTAGGGCGGGGAGGAGGAGGAGGGGAGACGGAGCTACTTTGGGGAAGTCTTGGGCACATTCCTGTTCCGGGTTCCGCTCGGAGCCTGGAGATGCTGGTGCCCTCCAGGCTGTTTCTTGCCCTCTCTAGTGGTGGCACCTGAGGTGTCTGCTCCCCCCAGGGGTTTAATCCTTTCCATGAGCATTCCCACCCCATAAGATGCTGTCTCCTGATCTGTTCATGTCTATGGCTGCTGATCTGCTCCCTCACACCGTGATGGAGATGGTCTCCTGAGGTGGTGATCACTTCCAGCAGAAGGTCTGGAGAAAAGCAGGTCTGTGTGGACATCCTGCACCCCACAGCATTGTGGGAGAGAGTTATCTTACATCCACCATATCCCCAGTCCCTTTTTAAAGCATTTTGTCTAGCTGTCGCACACACTGTAATTTTTTGGCTCCTCCTACCATATGCTTTAGGGACACCCTTTTATTTTGATGACAAATCCAAATAAAATTGTTGGAACTGTCCTGCTTCAGGGATTTCCTTGGATCGAGCAGGCCAGCCTGTGAGGGGAAAGCTTGTATGAACTGCTGCAGACCCTACACGGGCTGGAGCTGCAGATCCTGCATAGGCTCCATGTAGGATCCATGGGAGAACACGWGCAGTGCTCCTGCTTGTGATCTCCCATTACGAGCAACCCTGCTTGAGATGCCACCAGCCTCCTTGCTATCCAACAACAGCACAGGGSACGTGGTAGCCAACCTCAAAAATACCATTTTTTTGAGGCAGACAACTCGGAGGTGGCTCCGCAGTGGCTCCGTATGACGGGTGGGAGGGCTGTGATAGAACAGTGCACTGGGTAGTCCAAGCTGGAGAGACCCTAGGGCTGCCACTGCCTTTCCCACCTCGGCGCAGTCCCCAGACCTCCATCCCTCTCATCCACCCGGTGTTCGTCCTGGGGTTCCCAAGGGATCTGTAGCTGCGTTAAGTGTGGCCATCCCCTGGCTGCCATAAGATGACCCACCGCTCAGTTCACTTCCTTCAGGGTACATCTCATAAAGGCTACAACACCGTCTGAGTATCAAACAAAGCATAGTTTATTTGGCATAGACTGAAATGAACCACAACAGGAATTTAAGTAGAACAATGCCTAGGTGCACAAACCCGTGCAAGTGCAGTTAAGAATCTCAGTTATAATCTAATGGCCAAGTAAGGTAAAAAGGACATGTCAGAAACTCCCAGTCTCTACGTCCTCCCCACCCGAGACATCGTGGCTCACTGATGCATTGTACCTTTCCTCTTTTAATCAGATGTCAACACAACTACAGTTGTATTTCTCAGTTGCAAGGAATTTGGTTAGGAAATCAAACAACTAATCTACAGGCTTCTTTTCAAACACTGGCTTCTTTTCAAACACCGTTCATGCTTCAAAGAACTCAGGGGGCCTCTCTGAAGGCTTTCAAGGTGAATATATGAACCTTGAGTATCAAACAACAAATACTTGAGATCTGTCAAAAGAGTCTTTTGGAGGAAACAAACAAGTCTTTGCTTTATGAAATTCCCAAATCGCGCTCTATKCATTTCTCAACCCCGGCTGAAAGGTTACAAAAACATACAAAGACACAGACAATACCAAACTAACATAAACAGCCTAAGAGATGCAAMACACACGAGTCAGAGTCACCCGCTGCGGGCGGCGGAGCTGCAAACGTGCACGTCAGTTATGCCATGCTCTGCTACGGCCATGTTTTACACCAGGAAACAGCACCCTGCAGATCAGGCCAGAAACCCCCGGAGTTTCCTAAGCCAGGCTGSACAAAGCATTTCAGAACTCACCACTGGAAATGCTTTAACAGCTGAAAACCAGGAGGTTTGATTAAATGAGGACTTTCCTAGATTCATCTGTATAATTCAGCAAATCCCCAGTCATTCATGTCATTCAAAGAAAAATACTTATTGTTCCATGACAGTGTAATGACCTAATAGTTATTTACTCCAGTTATTCCCTATAAATACTCCTATTTTATTTACAGATTTCTCTAGTCTTTTAGGCATCACATTTTCAGAGATAAAGCCAAAATTCTGCAGTGAATGAGGTAAATTATATGAAAATATTTGCTCTACAATGTCAACATCTGTGTTTAACTTTTGTCTTCACCTCTATTTTAAATTGATGGTGGTCTGGGTGTTGCACCATTTTAGGGTTAGTCACCAGTCACTGTTGCCTATGACAGAAGTAATTCCAGTACTAGAGAACAGTTACTYGCCATGTAGTGCTAATGTCAAGTGAAGCCACCTATTCTAGCCAAAACCGTGCACGGGGAATAAAAGACTTCTCCTAACAGCACCTGTTAAAATAGTCCCATGATATGGAAAAATTACATCAAGAAATCTCTTAGCCAAAATTGTTCTTTATCACACACACAGCTGAAAAAAATGTGTGCAAATCCCTTTGTTATTGTTTTTTTCTCTCTGATAGCCTCACTCACTATAAAGGATGGATTCAAACTAAACAGCCACAGACTTTTGCTATCCAGTTATGGAACAACTTGAGAATGACTTCCAGAAATCGGTTTTRGAAGCTAAAATAATGGACTTCATGCTACAACAAACCCCTTTCCCTCAATTTCTTTACGCAAATCTCCAATGTCCTTTTGAAAATATTTAATCTCTGATTACAACTGACCGGTCCAAATATTCTCAATACATTGTGGACTGTTTTAAGATCTGTTTGTACACTTATTTATTAAACCTCACCACGGTTTCAGGACTGAAAAGATCGCCTTGATATAAAGGCCAAATCAACAAGAAAGAACTCGTTTTGAATGACAGTGCCAAGTGGCCAAAATGCTAAACTTGTTCTCCTCTCAGACCTGCAGAATGACATAAAACTCCAGCTGTACCTGGTAACAAACGGACATTACTGATTCATGGCGTGTGCCGAGTTAATTCCGTCCATGCTAAATTATGAATCAAGTAGTTCGATGCCTAAGCGGGCAGCCCAGTTGCCCATTCTCTGCATTGTGGGTTCAGATCAAACCACTCGGGTTGTGCTCAGYGCGTCAGCAGCGCCTCGGGTCAGGGCAAGCCCCTCGGCAACACTTACCTTTATTGCTTTATCAAAATGCCTTGTGAAGCCTCTAACCCGCTTTCCTTGCAGGTCACAGATATTGGATAGCAGAATACGAGGACTGCATTTAAAAACCCTCCTTTCAAATGTTAATGAACTGCTACTGTATCCGCCTGTGGGCTGTTTCCTTGCAGCAAAGCTTGCAGGTTAGTGTGAGGTAGTAAAACCATACCCTATCCTGGAGTCAGGCTGTATTCGTATCTAATGGTACCTCGAGAATTTTAATTAATGAGGAAGATAAAAAAACACCAATGTAACTCTTTGATGGAGAAATAAGAGAGGAAGAAAAAYGCAGGTGACAAACTGAAAAATAGGGAAAGGGAAGAAGTGATCTGAAGCTTTATTATAGAATACTACTTCTTATCATATTTATTTATACTACACAGAAGGGGAAGTAATTATTCACAAATAAGTCTGATGGACATCACCTGGATAACTGTACAAGCAAAAAGCTGGAGAGCTCAGTTATCCTATGGGTTCCCCCCTGGAATAGTATAAATAAACTATACGTCATGGGCAGTTGGATACATGATACTTTCATTCATTAAGGATGACCAGGGACAATCTGCCGATATTTCCATTTCATGTCACGAGGTTTATCCCTAATTTATGAAAATAAAGCATATATATTTTGTACATTTATATATATATATAAATATATATATAAAATATACACTGCCAGTCAACTTACCACACATGCAGACACACACACCCCTATATTGTACACACTCATCCGCTAGCAACATGTTTGATATCCATATTATATTTTGTGTACACACACCCTACATCTAGTAAATAAGAAAATCCCTTTTATGGCAATTCTGCAGGCAAAAATCAATACAAAATACTTTGTTGTACAAAACTGCATTTTTACAAGATCGACCAACATTGTAGCATACCCCTCGAGAATGCACTACGTCTCTACAAGAAAAAAGAATAATCAAATCTTTATACATTGTAAAAAAAAAAAAAGAGTAAGCTGCTCTGCAACCTTCCTTTGCTAAAAGTTAGATACATTACACCATCCTAGCAGCAGATTAATAAATAAGGATTAAATAGTCTATTATACAAAGCCATACTGAATGGCAGACTTAAAAACAAAAAGCTTTGCAGATACTTTCACTTCCTACACAAATCATTTTTATTAAGAATAAGACTCAGTATAAAACAGGGAAACAGCCAGCACTCTATCTGTATCTACAGAATACAGGAAAAATCCAAGGGAAGTAAAATATTTAACAGTTTATGGCACCTTTACGGCATAATGTTATTTTAAAGGCTCTGTTTCCCCATGACTAATGAGTAAAGGACTATTTATCTCATAGCTTTTATTAAGCAAACTTGATATAACCAACCACACAGTGGCAAGAGACAGAACCAGCTGTTCCCAGCTGCAAAAATGGACTGATTTCCACCCTAAAACAAGATCCTTTAGGTGTCAAGAACAAGAACAAGGAAGTCACAGTCCGGCTTGCACAGAGTTTTATAACGTTCCATGGTTTTCCTGATGCGGTGCGTTGGTGCTGAGCTGTGTGCCGGGTTGCTGCTGCTCAGTAGCTGTTCTCATGGCCGGCCAGGATGTAGAGATTGCTGTGAGCCGTGGGGTTTTCTGTCGGCCTGCTTTCCAGCACCACCACCCTGCCAGCCAAGCACAAACGAAAGCCAGAGTGGGCACTGGTGAAATGTGAAGCGTGGGGCTTAGCTAGCACCAAGGAAGAACTAACTGGTCTCTTACAAGTGTAGAAAGATGGGAGAGAGAGGGGTTCCCCCAAATATCTTGGGAATTTTATTCTTTGAATCACTTTGCTCATTTTCCACTGTAGGCAGCAACGCTTCTGATAAAAATGCTCAGACATCACTGCCAAGGAACAAAGAACTAGAAGGGGGTTCCTCTACCAGAATCCCCAGGATCACACACAGATCTTCCACGTCGTGGTTCCCAAAGTGCTTTCCAATGAAGTCTCTCTCCTAACTGCTTCTGTTCCTTATCTTCACTTTGGCAACTCAGTAATTCTTAAGGAATCCAAGCCAAAAAGGTGAAAAGTCAAAGTCAAAAGGCCAGAAGTGCCTTTGGCACCAAGCTTAACCGTCTGCCAAAGGTGCCTGCCACCTCTCTCCCCCTGCACACTGTGGTTTTGTTCTCAGTTCCACCTCTGCAGTGGAAAGCAAGGGAGGGGCCCTCGGATGTTGGATTTGGAAGCAATTACACTAATTACATTTGTGAAACAGTGTCACTGCCTCCTGCAGGACTGCCTACAGACAGACCTGTGACCGGCTGCAACACAACTGCAGCTTGTGGGTAGAAAGGTTGGCTTAGAGAAAATAAAAGGTTTATGTTTCTTCAATTACCTGTCTGATCCCAGCAAGCGGAAAACCCTGGTCTCATCTGATATCTCCTGGGTAACCTGTAGAAAAAACTGAGACGTTAAGATCCATTTCAATGCTAAAAATGAGACGCAAAGGTCTGAGTTGGAAGGAAAAATAACCTGGATCATGGCTTTTTAAAAAGTTTGATATAATTTAGTGCAAATCACAGGACTGAATCAGATAAAACAWCATAAAAAAGGTTAAAAAATAAATGTGGAAATACTGGGGGACAACTTACTTCATCTGACTTAAAGCTTTTGCCTTGCATGCCGTGCTTCCAGAAGGCCAGCACGCTGTCTTGAAGGCACACTGCGGAGGAAACACAGAGCAGCAGTGAGCACAGCCTCCCTGACCCGAGCAAACCCAGACTTCCCGCAGCACCAACGGGAAGCACGTGAAGAAAATGCACCGTGAGACCTGGGCTGCTATAGCAGACCCAAACTCTGAAATAACCATTAAAAAAAAAAAAGGGGGGGGGGGGATTAAAATTACTATTTGGATCAGAGAGATGCTTTTTGCAATTCGATTCAAAGCACAGCAGTCAGACATTCCCTGTTTGCCAAGGCAAGACAGGCATCTCTGGTTTCTCCTGTACTCCTCTACACATCTATTCTCCAGATCTCTTTTTTCCTGCTAGTCATTTGGCTTTGCAGAAAACACCAGGCAGTGGTTAGTGGTTAAACACGCTGCCAGCCAAAACCCAGCGGGTCACTGGAAATTACAGATCATTTTAAATATATTTACTTCAAAATAGGCATGAGCATGAGCAACGGGAGGAGTCTTCCATTCAGGGCCAAGGAGAGAACACAGAAAGCTGACAGCTCRAAATGATTTAATTACCAGACTGATTGAAAAAAATGAATGAAGATTTTGGTATCCTCTTAGCAGTTTTACAGAATCATGTATTTTATACATTAATTATTTTCTGAGTTTTTTTTAATTATTATTCCTCATAGCCACACTTTCTATCTGCTCAGTACTAGCTATACCCTAAATGCACAAAACAAAGGCATTTAACAGAATCCCTATATATATAAATATATATATATCCCTTTTATAACTGTTTTTTCTCTACATTTAGATTTACATATTTACCTGTTACGCCTCAGTCTACCCTGCAATCAGTCAACAGAGAGGTCTTTAATACTCTGAGTTCCCAAGAGCCCTCTTGGGAATATAAAGATCTGTTCACGTTATTCCAAGGAAGCTGGTAAGTGTAAGACTGGAATAAAAGCTTCTGTCTATGAATTCCTTCAGAGTTCATGAAAAAAAGGCAGTGGCTGAATCACGTTATGGATGTGTCAGCAGGAGACACCGCGGTACGGAACTAAAGCAAAAGGTAATTAGAGCACGACAGAATTTAGAAATTGAAATATCCTAACAATTCTTCCTTCAGCATGGTTCTGACATATCGAAATAGGGATTGTGTATAGAAGAATGTGCCCTGTTTGAGCAGCTGCTGATAAACTACAAATACCTGTGTGAGAACCTTCTGTTAAAGGGAAGAGGCCTGAGGAGCCCCCAATTCTGAATTGTGCAGATCTGCTAACAAAAACGAGTTCTCTTTCTATTACTGAATTTGCTTCCAGAAAGAAGTTCAGGCCTTGACATACAGAATTCTTTAATGTATGTTATCCAGATGCTTCTGATCTTTACAGCTTTTCATAGCAGAAATGCTCACTTGATAATTACAATACAACTTTTAGCAAGACTGCTGTGTTCTATTAAGAACTGCATTCAAATACTACAGCCCTTACTATTAAAAAATGGATGTGCTACCACTTTATATAAGAACTTAGTTTTTAGAAGACTGAACAAACGAATGTATTACTACCATACAAATCTTTTTTATCAAAAGATTGTGCTCAGTGCTATGGAAATGAAAGGKAAATTAAACAATCAACATGGAAATGACCAGGAACAATCAAGATTTTTTTGATCAAATCGTGATAAAGCTTATTTTTAAGTTAGAAATGACAGCAGCTGAAAACACATGCAGATCAGACTCACACTGCCTGGCAACTCTTATTTTCTTAAGGACGYCCGTGGGGACAAGGACACAGCTCACAATATCCTGGAGCAAGCAGTTTTCCAGGTCAGGTCCTTAGAACTTTAGTAGACCAATTACTAAAACGTCTTCAAAATTCATAATTTCAAGTTCCCAATTTTTGAGAGTCAGTGCAGAACAAAATCACTTACCCACTGATTCAATGCAGAAATCAAAGCTCAGCTCAGATGCCAATTTCTTGCTTGACTTCAAYTTCCCTTGTAGATTCACAATTTTCACAAATTCTCAAGAAAAACAGAAAATCAAGTATTAAACCCCACCCCTGGAGAAGACTACAGGTGGCTCTAAGTGTGAAAAACTAACTTCAACTTTCAGGCACAAAACAGAGCATCTTTCTTTCAAAATAAAGACAGAAACCATCCTACAGATTTCTGTAGGCTTTTAGACTTTATTGACTTTATTGACTTTATTGACTTTATTGACTTTATTTCCTAGAAATAACAAATTTAGTTCAAAAAACCTACACAAATGCAATATAAAAGTTGAAATTCAAGCAGGTTAAATAACTGCAAAGTTCCTATTGTGATATTAACTTCTAATGCATATAAATTACAGATAATTACACGGTRTAGTGTTAGTTAGTTAACATGTGTGGCAGGGTAGAAAATGCCACATTTTCCAGATAGGCTTAAAAATTGCCAGATTTGATTTCTGATTTGAGTATAGTTGAATTTTCATCCCTAATGCTGCCTCACMGATCTCATTTTGAAAGGCACAGAAATAGGAGAAACAAGAATATACAGGCATGAAAAAGAGGAAGCAGAATCACAAGAGTCAAAGTGAAAAGATCACATAGCTGAACTGTACCTACTGGGAAACATTTCAATACAAATCAGCAAAGAAAAGGGAAARAATACCACACGACAGAGATAAAAATCCGCTGTGGCAAAGCAAGCGTTGCACAAGGTGCAGTGAAGCTGCCCACCAGCCACACGTTACTTACTGTCCAGGCAGACCAAGACGGTGTCTCTTTCCAGCTGTGTCACGTGAATGGCATCCAGCTGCTGATTGCCTTGGGAAAACGAACACGGATGAAGTTATCTCACATCAGCCTCCCCCCATTCATTTCAGTTCGTTTCAAGCCTCTCCTCCTCTGCAGTTTTGGTTATTCTCTTACTGAGGTCGCACATCCCTGAGTGCTACAGGAGCAGAGTGAGGCCTAAGGACAAGCCAGTTGGCTCAAAGCACATACTCAATATCACAGTGATACTGCTCATCCAGACAAAATACCATTTAAGTTACTATTTAGCATAGAGAGTGGCCTTTCTTCATGAGAAGGTCCAATAATGAACACAAGGAATCATCATGAGAATCAAAAACCCAGCCTTCTTTTCCCATAAAGTCACCCCCAGAAAGATTATTGTGATGATATTAAAATAGAATTTAATATTTTTTAGTTTTAATTAATTAAATCCTTCGGCTGCTAAAAATTCGTATTTCAACATGGAAAAAAAAGTATCTATCAAAGCCAGTAGAGAAAAGCATCTGGAAGATATCATACAGCTTTTGAACATGAAACAAAATCTCCTACTTATTAATGACTAACGAAGGTGAGAAGCCCCCACTGAGGGCTGGAGGACTGACAAGATGCGAGACTGACTGACCAGCGTGAGGCTCTAAACAGCAGAGAATGGGGAGGAGCAGTGAGACTGACCCCAGCGTGTGACTACAAATGGGAAAAACGCAGCCCTTAGGGTCTGTGTTACTATTTAAGGGATTTTAGTTAAGGCCACGTCTAAAAATGAAGTCTTTTAAGACAGTTTACATTAAAGTTGGTAGACCATCACAAGAACAGCTTGGAATCACATCCAAGTATTAGAGAATAGTATTAGTATAGATAATAATAATAATAATAATAATAATATAGATAATAATATAGATTATAATACTAACAGTATTAGAGAACCACAGGACAGTCGGTGTTGGAAGGGACCTCTGGTGATGGGCTGGTCTCCTTGCTCAGGCAGGTTGTCCTGGTGGCTTTTGAATGGACAAACCTGGGCAACCTGATCTACAGCTCAGCCACCCTCACAGTGAAAAGGGATTTTCTTATGTCCAGATGAAATTTCTTGTGTTTTGGGTGAGAGAAGCTGCATCATTTTGCCTAGAGTGAAAGGCTTCCAAGTGACCTCTGAGGGGAACATTCAACGGTCACCAGACACCGAAGAGCTGCAAGACGGACCCGGTCGCCTTACCTGCACCGATCTCTGTAAACCACGAAGACGCCGAGTTCAAGTTGATTGTCTCAAACTGAACTACTTGGTTTGGTTCAGTACCCTTGCTGATCGCCACACAGACCATCGGGTACTCCTGCTCTGGTATCACTAGCATCTCAAACACATTCAGAGGACTTGGCAAAGGAAAATCAAAGTGCTGTGAAACAAACAAACAAACAAAGCCATTTTTTAGCATTTCCTTCTACCTTAAAACTAAGAAGTTTAAAACAACATATACAAAAAAAAAAAGTTTTTACTGCTAAAATGAATCCGCTTTTGAGACAGCAGGAGTTGAGAGCGACATTATGTTGTTCAGAGGGATATGACAGGAGCCCGTTATTGCTAGTCCTGGGCTTGATCCAACACTTCCTTTGACTTCRGTCATGGGATTTTCTTAGTCAATGTGCATCAGGCCAGCATTTTAAGTGGCCAGAAACCCACAAATGGGACTAGACCAAGAGGTACTTTCCATTATAAACTCTAGAAAGGTTATTGCAGCAGCAGCATAGTGATTAGCATCTTGGGGCAGTAAAGAGGKACAAACACACAAAAATGTTGTAAACTAAAATACAATACTTACCTTTATTAACATGAATTTCTGCATTGGCTCATACCACTGTAGAAGAACAATTCCAGACTGTAGTGCTCCACACAGATACTTATGTCCTGTGTATGGATTTCTTACTATGTAAAACAAGCAAACAAATGATTTTTAAGTCCAGAAAGTTTAATGCTTRCATTAAGTAAAACCAGGCAATGCAGCTATTTTTACAAATAATTAAGAAATTTTCACCCTAATAATTGTTTTCTGGCATAGTGTTCTAATATATTAATTGATTACTATCGTGTCACAATTAAAATAAAGTAAATTCTTCATAAACCTCAGGACAACAAGCATTTCTGCAATAAAAGCTGCAAAACCTTCTTCCTGGGGCTGTAGTCAAGGGCAGTGAGAGGGGAGAATAAAGGTCCAGGCTAAGCCTGACTTCAGGAATCCTTTGCAAATATAACATGTCCTGTAGACATGGGATATCCAAGATTGCAAACTTGTACTCAGATTGCAAATTTTGTACTCTAAGCATTTTCAAGAGTGCAAAAGCAAAGATACAATTCCTCGTGCCTGTTTTTCAAAGAAACGTGCATGTTGTAGAAAACCCAAGCTTTTTTGAAAGTCAGTAGCACCAAAGACAAATGTATAACTTCCCAATCTCTAAGACTTTTTTGCAGACACTTAAAATTTGAATAAGGGCTTCAGGTCTCCCCCAGGATGACCCCAGGATCATTTTTTATGGTGTCCTGCAACTGCTTTGTGGAAAAAACACCTTTATAGTTAGTCTCACTAGAAGCTGGCTCTAGGTCAAAGCTTGAGTCAACCTAACAAGCCAGAAAGGGGTTTTCTGCAACAAGCCTGGACTTTGGTGACAAGTGGCACGTTTGGAGGCTGCCTTGGCTGGCTCTTGTGGCAGAGTGAAGGCAGCGATCCCAMATGTCACCATGTTCATGCAGGGCTCGACTCCACGTGGCAGCTCTCAACGTGCAGCACGGCAGCTGCACTCGAGCCCCTTCCCCAGGGCTTCCTTTCAGCATCTCGCTCTAGACAGCAACGTTTCGAGGCTAAAAGCTGATAGGAAAAATACTCGTGTATCCTTTCCACTCTTGCATAAAGACCCCTGCATTAATCAGAAGGAAAACCATATTCTAATTAGGTGCAGCATTAAGGTATAAATTAGTCATAGGGTTTTCTGAACCGTGCTGACTGTAACTGACTGGAATGAACTACTCAAGTCAGTTAAAAGGGAAATGAGTTTAAGAGCTGTCATRTCCAACAAAAAAAAGCCAGGAAAAAGTCTTTAACCCGAATGCCCACTCACCTATACAGCATTTGTGGCATCCTTTTGTATCAGGAATCTTTGTCGTTAAGGCAAACTTCCTGGAATAACAGTTAAAMAAGGCATCAGTCCAAGGCTCAGAGGGACTTTCATACTACTAACTCAATGGCATGTAAAAGTAGTCAAGGAATTTTTCACATATTAGAAATTGCCTCTATATTACCTTGGTAATATTTTGTCAGGAAACCTATGAGTTTGGATATGAGCAGCTAATCCTGTTTTTTTGGCTTGTTCAAACAAAGCTATTAAATTATGGGAGTAGAGCTGGAATGTTTTCCCTGCAAGAGAGAAAAGCACAATTGATACCATGCACACATGCATACCAGAGACAGTACATTATAGAAAAATGTATGTATATAAAATTACCTTCTAGGAAAGCGGACCACATGCACCAGGTATTTTGAGCCCAATTATGAAAAAAAATAAAAGAAGAGAACAACAATAATGCATATGGAGAACACATGGCATTCAACTGAGAGTTCTTTTCAGAAACATTAAAGATGCTCTGAAAATCAGTATTACATACACAGTTTTAGACGGCTGTAACTATATGACAACCATTAATCACATTAGAACAGTCTCTGTCTATAAAGCAATGAAAACAGAMCTGCACAAAAAGCTGTACGTTTAAAAACACAATCCTACAAGTAATCTGCATGTCATCCTTTCATCTCTTTCCTATGTAGAAACTCCTTATTTCAGGACAATTCAGATTTTTTCTTTCCAAGACTCARTCTCATGAACTAGCAGTATCTCATAGCTACCTCATTCCCTTTTACCTTGATATGTTTTTCATTTTAAATTGGATTTATTTTATGAATCTTGTTTATATCAAAGACGCCTTCAGGCACTGCTGACAATTGCATCTCCCATTTGTAACAGTTCACCTGTAAACTTCTAGTCTTATATATGAAAATCTTTGGAATTAAAGCACTCTAGGGGCTCAATTGCCTATAGAAACACAAGGAACAATGCACAACTCTTTCCTTCAGTGCAAACTGACCTCATTTATACCCACGGGAAAAAACACTGTACTGAATGATGGTTTTAAAGAGTTCTCACTATGTTATTACTTTYTCCTTTGGTTTATACATACCTGACAATGACATTAAGGTGTTATTGATAACATACAACCAGGTGCACTTTCGGGGGAATAACTAAAAAAAGATAATAATTCTGTTAACAGAAAGACACAGGAATTACTAACTCTGGTTTATTGCTATATAAAGAGAGCCCACGTAAGACCCTGGGACATATTTTTGTTTCAGGAGAGGGAGGAGACGTATCTAGCCCAGATTTGAAAAGATTTTAAAGCRTAAAAGAATCTCCACAAATGTGTTAACTGGGAAGACAAAAGGAGGCTGCTCCACTGCTTGACAGGAAAGGAGATTCCTCTCAGCTGCAGGATGAACCCAGTTATCAGCACTGTGATAGAAGTTGTGTGAGAAGCAATAAAGAGTATGTTAAATATTCATTTCAGTTAGGTGCACTCATGGCAGCAGGCCCCAACAAAGATAATTTTGCAATGCTTACAACCTGCCTCAAACCAAGCGCTCAGTAATGATTATCCTCGAGAACTGATAGAGGACAAGCATGGACCTCAAGAAAGGCAACACAGTGTCTACGCTGACCAAAAAGGGCTTGGGGGACTTAAAAGTCTGTCAGACTGACTCTGCACATCTAGTACAGCCCAGGAACAAGCCAAAGAGCTTTTAATTAGCAAGGGATATCAACTAAGAATGCCCAGTGTGGCTTTGTGCACAACAGGCGGTACCTGGAGGTCTCAACTTCCTGSCCTAACAGAAGGGCTGCTCTGCTGGGAGTGGGATGTATATGAAAGATCTCGCCCCATGTACCATTGCCATATGCAAAATAAGAAAATATAGGATAGAGGAAATTACAGAAAGAAGACAGAACTATTTGGACATAAAAAAATGAGTATCTGTCAGTAGTTTGCCATTTAGCAYGACAAAGAGCAGCCTACAGACACAGTGTCTCTTTTTCTCAGCTTCTATTCAATGTTTTCACTGAAAAAGACTGCAATAAAAGCACATGTATGAAACCAGCAGATGACACTAACTTGGGAGAGACTGCAAGCATGTAGGAGGATGAGATCAGAAATAAAAATTGGAGAATGCTGTCACGGATTGGAAAGTCATTCTGGTCATTCAGTGCCATAGGTGGGATGCTAGTAGCTTCCCTTTGCCCAACACTGGCACATTTGACTTTAAATAGGATGGAACAAAGGGCCTTGGAGAGTCCACAGAAGGACACCCCCTAAGTGAAACCTTCTTTCCCTCACTCTTAGTCACAGACCTGCCCACTCTGTCACCTCTGGTTTCTGATCTGAGTGTGTCTTGTCTGAATCTGCTGCTTGTTAGAGGCCTGAACTGCCATGGCAACCTGTAGATACATCTATAGATTCCCTCTTATTGGAATCTGCCAATGCTTCCTCTGCAAGAACATGTAGCTACTTCTGACCCTAAAGCAGCAACCATAACAATCCTTGTTATGCGGCAGCCTGAAAACACACATTTGAACGCTGCAAATAAGCATTTATTGGTATCRCCAGTGCCAGCTAAATAAACAGCAGTGGAACACAGCAGAGAAGCCAAATGCCATCTAGTGGCCATAAAATGGTCAAATAAAAAGGGTGGTGAACGGCTATCTCCACCAAGAAGTACGATGTTTCACTACAGAACTCCCCTGCACTCAATGTCATACAAGCAGCATCAAAAAATCACATGAGGACTGTTAATTCTAGCACTTCCAGGGCTTACTTTGATGTGACTCAGTTTATACCACAAAGCTTAGCATGCCCTTCTAACCTTACACAAAGTTTTCTTGCTTTACCATATTCCCAACTCTACTCTATCCATTCAATAGAGCAGTAGTCACCTGTTCCATCGTGGCTTCATGAAGTTCGTTCAAATTCAACGTATAGATCCCTTCCTCAGTTCCAAAGATAATGTACTGGTCTGAAAAAGTTAAGGAAAATCATTTAATTCAAAAGCTCATTACACTCTGGCACCAGGCAGCTTTAAAATAGAAATGAAAACTAACTTTACCTTTAGTATCTGGATGTATCCAGGATGTTGCACAGTTAATCTTCAAAGGGCACCCATCAAAGACTTTGGAAAAACACGCTCCCATCTGAAAGACACCAAAACTGCATCGTGAAACAAGTTTGCAGCACAAAGTGTTCATCCTCTGGCACTTTGCCTACTGGCACTCCCCAACCCACTGCTGCTCTCTTCAGGTATAGGAACCCGCTCCGAATGTTTCACMTCCAAGCACTTTAATCACCCCCTAAAGCTACAGTGCAGCCACCATAACCTCTCTCATGGACTTTATATACACTAAGAAACACAAAGACACATCAGAATGACATGAACAGCAACAACACTAAGTGCTTACATAACAGCACATGAAGGCAAAACAAGCAGAAGCATTCAAGAAAATAAAACCTTCTCCCTTGGCTACTGCTTTTCTGTATTTTTGTTTATAAAACAGAGAGTGCCATTGGAGAGCACAGCCCAAGGAGCCTGTCAAGTCTTCATCTCTTCATATCCAGACTKAATGGTGAAAGGATGTTTTTAAGAATAGATATTTTGTATTTTGTATACAATACACAAGGAACTGGATGAAAAGTATTAGCTGTGATAGGCAGGCAGGCGCCCCAGGTGAGCAGGCAGCTTATTGAACATAAACTTTCCGACACCAGAGCATTGACAGCAGAGGAGACTCCCAATAATTTCTACTGCAAATGAGATCTCTTACCAGCACCTTCGGCGTTGGAGGCAAACCATTGATTGCTGGCTTCTGTGGGAAGAAAGCAAGCTTATAAAACTGCTCCCATGCACTGATGCAAAACTGTACGTTATGCTTCCACTTGTGTGCACTTAGAAGCTTGGTTAGCTAACACAGTGGTGAAACGGGGCAGCCCGCGAGTCGCCGCACACTTACGGGGAAATCTCGTTTCTCTTTTTTACGTGGCAGCTGAGGGATTTGCCCAGAGCCTTCAACGCTTTCTTCGATGAGTTTCGGCATGCCGTCCCCGTTCCCTGAAACGAAGCCCATACCCGGTTTTGAGGACCCCTCACATAGCTGAATAAAACCAACAAATAAAATAAAATAAAATAAAATAAAATAAAATAAAATAAAATAAAATAAAATAAAATAAAATAAATCCCTGTTCTCTCTTCTGTACAGTGTTAGTGAGAGACCAGCGAGCTCCCAGCTTCCACATACACATCCCAAGTGGCTGAAACATCTCAAGGGCAGCTGGCCACTCTTCTGCATTTAAGCTCCACAGCGATCCAAGGCTTCCCGTTATTCCAACAGTCCCTAGGCCAAAGAGGACCGAGGACAGAGCCGTGGCGAGGTCCCCACGGACGCTGCTCCGGCGCAGGGGTGGCAGCGACTGGCCGAGCGCCCTGGTTTTGACACGGACCTTTCCACCATGGGTCACGGCTCTGACAAGAGCCAGCACATGTGGAAGGGAAAGCTGCACTTTATGAACAGCTTATATTCTGCCTCCTGAGAGCAGAGCGGGCTCCAAAACTGATTTCCTTTCCAAGGAAGCAAGCCCCCTTTTGGAAATGTAAAGCATTTACCCAGGTCGCTGTATCTAGCTGTAAGCAATCCCGGGCTGCTGATGCTGCTGGTCATACCAATGGGGGAGGGATCGGTCTGAGGGCCACAAACAGGAATGCTCTGTCTCCTGTGAGCTGGCGGGGCTCTGTTTTGCGAGTCGGGAAAATGCTTTATTGTCTGAGACTTCTCATCATCTGGCAGGTTTTCCTCGGGGTAACTGTTTATTCTTGGCTGCAGCGAAGAAAAGAGATGGACATCAACTTAGAAATGGCATCTGGAGGCATAAACTTGAGCTGGATTTTGATTAAAGTCAGGCTGCTTCTACATAAAGCAAGCTCCAGCACTGGATCAAGAGCACCTGACAGCACGCTGACCGGGGAGGCACCGGGGAGGCAGAAATCACAGCAGCAGACGCTGCTGAGCAAGGGGACGCTTCCTGCAGCACGTTCCCTTCCAAAGGAAAATACCTAGAATCACTTTATCAAGGATGGCATAAAGGCCACCAATTCCCAGAGGCCGAGAGACTGCACAGGATGCGAGGCAGCATAAAACATGAGGCTGCACAAAGGCTGCTGGCAAATGGGGCTTAACAGATTGTACAGCCTAGGGGCATCAGACAGAAGCGCTGCCTAATGGGGTCCCCTCAACACCCCTGCGCCGTCACTCACCTTAGGAGGTAGCGGGGGTGGCCCTGCTCGCTTTAGGGTGGACCTGAAAGGAAAAGGTGCAGCAGTTGTCTTAGTTACACCGACAACACGGCCAGAACTGCTCGAGAGCAAAGGCTGGAAACAGGACGCGCCAGATGCGCAGGAAAGAGAGCACAGCTGGGCACGACAGGGTTAAACTAGAAGCTCAAGAAGGAAAAAAGGCAAATTAATACTTGTTAGAAAAATGCACATTAATACTTGTTAGAAGGAGCTCTTTCAGGAACTGTCAGTCTTTCGTAAATGTAGATGTTAGAGAGCGTTTGTGATGAAGGGTATTGGAAATGAGGAGACRGGTAAGCGTTAAAGGACTCGTCCTYTGGAGGCAGCCTCTTCCACTGCTTGTTTTTTGGTTTTTTTTTCCTAGAAAATTCTTCCCCGTGGTGGAAATGCCACATTTCTGGATGGGCCAGCAGAGCGTGTCACAGAGCAAGGGCCTCTCCAAACGTGTCCAGGTGGCAAAACGGGTTTCTGGGACCTCGTGCAAGCGCAGTCCCCACAGCCAGGGAGCCGGCCAGGACGTCCACAACCAGGAATCTGAGATTCACCTCTCCTCCTTGGCACAGAGTCTGCTCTAATTGAGATTTACCTCGCCTCCTTGGCACAGCATCTGCTTTAAAGCTCTAGGCAGGTCTAGGCGGCCTGCTGCGTGCCGAGGCGGCCTCCAAGGACCAGGCAAGAAGAGGAAGGTGCCAGGCCCTCCGTGCAGCCCGCGCTGCTCTCCCGGAGCAGGGGCCGCGCGYGGCACCGCGGGGACRGGGCATCCGCCAGGGCCACCCGCGGCAGCGCGGCCGCGCGCCCACGGCGCTCACTCACTCTTCGGCATCTTCGCTCCCATCACCAAACTTTGCGAGGAGGCCCCTAGGTAAAACGGGTGCAGAAATCAGAGCTCTGGGGTCGACACATAGAATCATAGAATCATAGAATGCCGAAGGTTGGAAGGGACCTCAGAGGTCATCGAGTCCAACCCCCCTGAATGCCAGCAAATGCAGCAGTGCTGCAAGCTGGTTTCGTACCGAGCACCTCCCAGCCCTTTCCAAAGCCGGTACTGCCCCTCGGGCACCATTAATGGTGTTTGCACCGAGTGTTCTCCCAGAGCTTCCTTCCACACTGCCGGGCTGCAGGCATCACCCACCAATCTCCCATTATTTCAGCCTGGTATTTTGAAATGCTGTTGAATTGCAATGACCACAGCATGGATGTACAATCAACTAGAGAGGAAAACAGGCAGCCAGTGGGGGACAAGTGGAGAAGGAAAAGCAGGGGGAAGTTTCCTGCTTTTAGGGTTACAAAGGCTCAGACTGTTTCCCACAGCAGCAGGGGCTTTGGTTTAAAGCAACATCCCAGCCGTGGGTGCATCTCCCAGCACTGCCTGGCACCCAGCACAGTCACAGGAAAAACACAAGTGTGTCCTAAGGACACTAATGTGTCTGCTCTAGAGCCCTGGAGAACCTCCCTGCAAGTTAGGCCTTCCTTGTGAAGGAAAAGGAACAAAAAACTCACCCAGCAACAAAAACCACCTCCATAATGCAAAAATTACAAATAAAGGAGTCATTTAATAAGATGAAATAATAACAAGGGRAAAAAAGCAGTGACTTAGTTCCACGTTCAGGTGCAGTTTCCCACGTTTCCCTTTCCAGGGCGGCAATTCCTGCCTCCCCAGGCAGCAGCCGTGGCACACATCCTTTCCTTGCATCACTGGCACTGCCCACGATGCCCACAGAGATGGGCTCTGCATTTCCTCTTTATCTTTCCAAACTGGAATCCTTTCCAGGCAAGCGGCACACAGATCCACCACCCAGAAACTGCGTGGCTGTAGCCATTCCAACGGGAAAAATTGCTCCCCATAAACCTGTGTTCATCTGCCAGCTCCCAGCCCTAGCAATAAGTGCATCCTAGCATCCACTCTGCTTCCAGTACTGTCTGGTACAGTCTTAAAAATGCTACAGCTGAAGCAAATTAATAAGTCACATTGCAGGGGAGGAGATGGAGCTGGGAAACCAGAGCGTGGGGGAAACCAGAGCGTGGGGGAAACCAGAGCGCGGTTTCCTCCCTGCTCCCCAAACCCGTGCACTGCAGCACCAACCCCCCAAGCAACACAAGCGAAGAGGAGGAGAAGCTGCTGGGGCTCCTCGCGGGGCAAAGGCGGGGCCTGGGAACCAGCCCTGAACTTCTGCTGGGACGAGAGTGAGAAGAGAAGAGGGGGGACTTGCAGAGGCCTGAAGAGCGCAGTGTGTGCGAGCCCGCCAGCGTGCCGGGGGCTGCAGTGTTGGTGGCAGCCCATGCAGGGCTTTATCTGCAAAACAGCCCAAGAAATTCAGCGTGTGACACAGCTCCACATGCAGATGGGAGGCAGGCTCTTCAGCTGAGCAGTTATTTTAGCTCACACGCCATCCTTCCCTACACGTGTGTATCAGCCAGCAGTGCGAAACCTCCCCTCTCTTCACTGCAAATTCACTGCAAATTCACTGCAAATTCAAAGATCACCTTTTAAAGGCAGAATCCAGTGGCTTGCAGCAAAAGGAAGCCGCACACGCACTGAATTCAGTTCCAGCTTGGAGACAGTCGTACTCTCGTACTCCTACTCTGCTTTTAGCCTGGGCAAAACTAGTTATAGCACTTTTTTTTTTCCCCAAAATTTGAAACCAAAACACTGGGAAACTGTATTAAAGATGTCACTGCTCTGACCATGCACTGCAGCAAACAGGGTGATGCAGCCCTACACTACTCACCCGTCACCATGAGTCAACCAGTTGCAGGGGGAGGGATGCCCAGTTTCCAGTTTCCCAATCAAGAATCACACGCTTTGATTAACTTTGATCAACTTAACTTTGCTTTTCAGTTTGCCTTTGCATGTGAAGTCACAGAAATTAAAGATGCTTTTAAACTCTTCACTTACCTGCTGCTTCCACCATCAACAAAAGGATTCCAATGTGAAGCAAAGTCAGTGCCGGCCGCTACACCCTGAAGATGCAGAGATTTTCATTATATAAATACATATATATATGTATTATTATTATTATTATTATTATTATTATTATTATTATTATTATTATTAGCAAACTGATTTTTTTCCAGCAAACTGAAGGTTTTCTAGCAAACTGAAATTAACCAGAGCACCCAAAGATGCCTGGGAGGTTTCCAGGGCCTGCGGAATGACCCATAATCAGTAAAATAGAATTCCAAAGTGGAGTCATGTTTTATAACATGCTTACAAAACAACTATTAAATTATTGACTCGTTAGGCTCAGACTTCACCTCAGGACACTTCCAAGCTGCTTGTCCAACAAGAGACCACATTGTAGCTGCCTCCGAACCGGCGCGAGAGACCATGCGCCGCGGGCGGGAGCTTTCCTGCCTTCAGACAGGGTCTGGAGGGGAGCTCAGCACATCTGAACCTGAGCAGTCACCTCCAAAAAGGATGAACATGTGTCCACCTGCTGGACTGCAGCTCCAAAATGCAGGAATGGGATGTTCCTGGAGTGCCGAGCACCGACGTCTCCAAATTACTGCTGACGGCAGCTATTGCTGCTCTCATCACTTATTAATAAATGGAGCTCTTGTGCACACAGCAGCCCAAGGGAACATTAATTAGCCGAGCTGAAGCAAGCGGGGCAGAGCTGGAGCAAAGAGCAGCGGCTCCGCGCCGGAGCTGGCCGCGTTCCCGGCAGCGGGAGCGCCGGGCGCCGCGCTGGGCGAGGGCGCTCGGCCGCCGGGCGGCCCCTTYGCCCGGTCGCATTCATTGCTCCGTGTCATTCCTCCCATCTGAGCAGGGCTCTGCACAGAGGGCAATTCTTTTCTCCTAAAAATGTGGCGATTGTCCGGGACCCTGAGCCGTCTTCGCGTGACTCTGTGGTTCGGATACATATTGCTTAGAGCTGAGCCACGAAATAATGGAGATGCTGTCATTTTAATAACTGATGGAACTTGATCTTACCATCTCATCTCGAGCTTCTGTTTCTTTCCGTAGAGGAGGCTCAAACTGCAGCTTATCAACTGCAAAATATGATGTTTTCAGCTTTAATGTATACACGAATACCTTTCTGATGCTTAATGCATCAGTGAAGAACATGTTATAACATAGCTGAGTGATACATGCAGTTTTAATCTGCCTATAAAATCTATCTATCTGCCTTGAAATATCACTGTTTTTCATGAGGACTTAATTGTCTAAATGATTAAATTTGCAAATGTGAAACTCACAAGAAGGAAACTGAGAAAGGAAATACAAAGTCAAACAATGAAAGCATCATAAAATGTGACTGTGTAACCATATGTTATTTTTAACACATGTGAAAACATGCTTTTAACGCATGTGAAAAAAAAAACTTTTTTTTTTTAAATAAAAACAGTAAGCTTCCTACGAGTGACAAATGTGTGACTCTGAGAGGCAGACAGTATTTAAATTGCAATGTCCAAACCTGAAAAAGGCAGTTTCTACCCTCAGAACTTCACTTTCTATCCAACAAAGTAAAAAAATTAATACTGTTTTAAATTAAAAAAAAAGAAAAGAACGCTTAAAAATGCACTAAAATAATACAAGCTGTGAACAGGACAGCTACTGCAATCACAAGGGAAGTACCTCCCTAAGTCCAAAAAAAGGTTTAACTAAGGACCTCGAAAGAGCGTAGACACAAACACAAAATGCTAGGGTTTTGCTGTGTTTTCTTTTTTAATTTTGCTATTGGAAAACGATATTGAAGATTTGTGTTTATGTGATGCTTTTTTCAGGTTTTGTTTCTCAAGTGTGCAGAAAGAGCAGAAAAGGCTTTTCAGGACATATAATAAAGCAGTAACACCRACATCCTTTACTGGTAAACGTAACCAACCCCACACGAAGGGCAAAATAGTTCAGGGACTTACAGTTTATCTCGGACGCTGTTCTTTCTGCTCTCACGTTCCTGTTTGTTGAACGAATTGTGTGGCGAATAATGGAGTGTGGCTGGAAGAGTTGTGAACAGAGAAGCTCAGGAAGGTTACGTGGCTTTCACTGCATCTCCGTCAATAATCAGCAAAGAAAAACAAAGCTGTTGCAGCCTCAAAGAGWCCCAAGAGTCTCAGTCTCTTTTACCTACGTCGTCTTTACCCTAGGAAAGATCTCCTACCACCGTGCACAGGAATTTTCTATGTATTCTACAGTGGAAGTGTAACAAACCCTGGAGTAAGATTTCCTGTTTTCATCAGCACTGCAACTTCCAGGAGATCTAGAAATGATGGAGCAGTGTCCCTGCCAAGCTGGGAGCTTATGCAGTGAAAGCAAAGCAAGGTATTTAAAGATTTTAGGTTTCACCGAAAATAAATGTTCTCACCTCAAAATCATCGTCATCTGCTTCGCTGTAGTGTGCGTGGTTGTCAGGATTATTAACTTTGTCCAACAGCTCCACTGCTAGAGATCTTGAAAGTCCAGGCTGCCCTACAAAACTATGCTAAAAACACACAAAAAAAGTCAAGTTATGATAAGCAAATGTTATGTWATAAACAACCACTATAAAATCTGTTATTAAACTTCGGCTAACAGCTTTCTGGGGGCTGGAATGTTTCTTTAATGACACCTGAGGGCTACACGTCCAAGCTCTCCAGCAGCATGGGAATGCCACGCTTTTGGTCAGTTTTAATTGGCAATTAAACCCTGAGTCACACAAACAGTATCTTAATTTTTCACATGAGTAGTTCATTCAAGTTTAATAAGACAGAATTAGACATGTGAAAAACTGCTAAAGGGACCAGTTCCCTTCTTGCATGATAGGAGGGGTCAACATTCAACCTGYGCAGGCCAAGGACAGAAGATGAGGCAACATTCAGTAGTTTTCAGTAACAGAAACCTGATAAACTCTTGACAGTGAATAAAAAATGTACTGCCCACAACAGGCCAATGTCTCCTCCTTTGAGATTTCATCACCCGTATTGTGAGATTAGAGAAAGAAAAACGTTGCAGGTTGGTTCTCTAGTGATTTGCTCTTCATTTYGAAGCGAGATCATTTATCGATATCGTGAAAAGGTCCAAGGCACTTACAGAAAGGAGCCTTTCTGCTGTCGGTCTCTTCTTTGGATTTTTTGTAAGTGCTATTTTGACAAAATTGTGGAATATCGATGACCTTTAAAGAAAAAAAAAAGCAAAGTTTTCAAAATGCTATTAAATTTCAACATAGTAACAAGGCAGGTTACAAGAGAACTTGCTAAACCAGAATGTTGTCCAAGGATCTCAGTGCATTTCAGATCTGAGTAATTACACTACCAGGTTAGCCAGACAGGAAAAAAACACCAACATTTGATTCATGGGACTTGCATGGAAAAAGTTTGGGTAAGGTATAGCAAATAAACCAAACACACGTGGTGTTATTTCTATGTTTTYGAATGTCAGTGTTATGAAGCTAGATAATCACCAATAAAAACAGCAAATTAGATACCCAGGAACCCCTCAGAACCTATTCCTTGCCACCTATTTCACTGCTCATGGTCACAAGAAGGAAAATAAAATRAGAAGAGAAAAAATAAGGACTCTGTCTACTCTTTAAAACCTTTGGTTGCCCTTTTCAGAACACTTTAGGTGATTGCATCATATGATCTCTTTTAAAATTTGAATTATAATTTGCTATTGCGCCCAGACCTACAGGCATTGTCCAGGACTTTGACAAGCATTTTCCTTGCCACTGCATTTGGATTAATGCACCGTTCTGTGAACACTCGCCCAAATCTGCTCACATCCAAGATATGTTATGAACATGTTTCTTCTTCTAGCCTRAGCATCTGAGAAAAGGGCTCTGGAGCAGGATGGTGCATCGGCTGTTTTGGATACAGGGAACACGTTCMTGAGGAGTGTTCTTTCCCTTCCCTTGGCTCTTATCCACCCCCTAAAGCTCCTCAAGGTCAAAAAGCTGCAAGGCACAACTGTGAGCAAAGCATCTGGCAAACTAGAATGGTTTGGGTTATCAAAATAAAATGACATTAAGTGCACAAAAAATCCTGCATATGCTGGGAATGTACCATAAGTTAAAGAAATGACTGCAGAATGTGTATTGCAAGGGAAAGGACGAAACCAGCTTTCCCTCCTAGGACACGCAAAGTGGGTCCAAGAGGGGCCATCTCCTTCCCCTCAGGACCTGTGGCACTGACCCCATCAGGGAGGATGCTCTGGCACATTTCAGCCCTTCCAGAATCACACATTTCATCATGGAAAAAGGCCACCTTTGCAGCAAGGAAWTAACACCACATGTGCACAGACTTCTGTGGCATATAAGTATTTATAGATCCAATGCATTTTCTTACACGTTGCTAACTTAGCTCCTTCATGGTATGTACAAAACTTTGGCTTAACTCACCATTTTGCTTTTTCCTTTAGCTTTGGTGGCTGAAAATTACTTTTTGACATTAAAAACAATGCCCTAAAGAGAAAGGGAGAACAAMATAATTATAATAATAAAGATAAACTTCACTCCAACACCTAAGCACTTTGAATACATATTCTCCTTCATATTACAAATCTCATTCAAGATAAGAATCAAACTGATAAAACTGGATCATAGTCTAGACCGTGCTAGAAGACAGACACCATAAGGGTGTTGATCTCCTAATCTCTAAATTGTCAGGCATAAGCCTGTTAAATATAACATGATGGTTTCTCTACTCATTTTATTATATCCCTTATTACTCCCATTGTTGATGATGCTATAAATTTAAAAAACATTTAGAACTTTCAGGTATAATTTTCACTTTAAATCGAAGTCCTTAGCTTCAGATGGATGGCTAAGGAGCAGACACAGCCCTCACAGAACCTAGATGGTTGGTGATGGAGCTCTAGGTTGAGTTCCTGAGCTAGGAGCCGGGACGATCCCGCGACATCCCGGCYGTGGCTCCGGGATGAGGAGCAGACCTCATGGGGTGCAGGTCGAACATGGGRGGCTGCAGCTCGGCCAGCTCAATCGCGGTGATGCCAACCGCCCAGATATCGCAGAGCTGGTTGTAGCCGCCGTTCTTCTCCACCGCCGCCACCTCCGGGGCCATCCTGGAAAAGCAAAGCCGAGGGTCAGGCGCAGCGCAGAGACCTCTGAATGGCAGCCCGCACCCAAGAGCCACGTGCTTTACCTAATTCTAGAACAATCCTCCCCAAAAAGCGGGCGACAAAGGCCTGGTGTCACCCCCCTCGGCCAGCCCAGGGCACAGAAACACCCGCAGGAGGTGACGTGTCTTGCCGCGGGTCACGAACTCGCCGGCAAAGCCGGGAATAGCAGCAGCTCCCCTGAGTGCTGCCGACCGCTCTAATGAGTGATAATCCCTGCCCTTAGTCCTTCCCCGACAGGACAAAGAGGCCGCGGACAATTCCGAGGCGGAATTGCTCCGGATTAGCTCCGGCTGCACGTGCAGCCTGCGCAGGGATGCTGCAGGGAGGCACCACCGCTGCCGAAAGGCCCAAGCGGTGAAACCTGCACGTGTCAGCCAGCTCAAGAGCTACCACGACCTGTCTGCGTATTAAATGTTGCCTAGTGCAAAATTCAAGTAGTGGAGACAATTAAAATAATTTTAAATTTTTCTTCACAATTCACAGATTCACAGAATGTTCAAGGTTGGAAGGGACCTCTACAGATCATCTAGTCCAACCTTCCTGCTCAAGCAGGCACACCTACAGCRTGTGGCACAGGGTGGCATCCAGGCGGGTTTTGAAGACCTCCAGAGWAGGAGACTCCACAACCTCCCTGGGCAGCCTGTTCCACTGCTCTGTCACCCTAACAGTRAAGAAGTTGCTCCTCACCTGGAGACGGAACTTCTTTCTGCAGAACCTCCATGAGAAATGAAGGAATGAAGCAACTGAGAACTTATTTACCGTCAGGTGTCCAGAAAAGGGGCTGAAAGATCTGCACTAATAAACTAGGGAGAATTGGCAATCCTGTTCCAAACTACATATATGCACTTTTGGGGCACTTTTCTTGGAAGAAAGGCAATCTATGCAATGAAGTTTATGAACTTAAAAACATGTGTGTGTGTACTTACGCGTGTGTATAAATATTTATATGTATGCACACACACTTCGGCGTGGGCACTTGCAAGTTCTTGGTACTGTTTGTAAACACAGCTCAGCTTTGTGTGCAATCCCACCAAGCAAAGTGGTTTATTACCAGTAAGGGGTCCCGATGAACGACTTTCTCTTCGCAATGGTGGCTGTTATTTTTGCTGCTACGCCAAAGTCCGCTGTAAAATGGAAATATCACATACTCAGAAAGCTGATTTCCACTTAATCCTCCAATTCCACTCTAGGAAGTGCAGTATTAGAAAAACAAACAAACAAACAAACCCTACATGTCTGATCTAAAAAATGTATACTAAATACTAAAAAAAAAAAAAAAAAAAACACACACTAAAAAAATGTATTAAGCTTCAGCAGTTAAAGATTCAGCTGGTTTGTGCCTCTTCAAATGTGAAGTGTCATTAGGGGAAGCTGGTAATACAGACCTCGTCCAAGCCTTCATTGCAGACCTCAGACTTTTATTGGCTAAATTAAAATATTCACTTGGTCTTAATATGAAACTCAGGCAACTTACCTAACTTGACATCTCCATGGTCTGTTAGTAGAATATTTGCACCCTAAAACACAACACATAGAAAGTTAAGATGCTGTATCAGCAAAAATTTTCTGCATCAGAAAGTTTGAGRTAAGCTCCCAGTTTTAGGTTACCTTTATATCTCTATGCATTTTGCCCTTCATATGCAAATAAGCAAGACCCTGGAAGAAAAAATAAGTAAATTAATTATAAGGAGAAACTTTTTGCCGTTTGTTAACATACTACAAAGCAGGTCATAATAATAATAATAAATAATAAATGTAATGTCCTCCATTTATTTTATTTGGAAGGTGAGGAATTGAGATTTGCAGTAGGAAATACACTCCCAGCACCAACAAATGCATGTGAAGACTTGCTTCGACGGGGCACGGTGCAACGTTTTCCACGGAGAGATGTGCCTTTTCCAAGCAAACCTCGGGACACAGCACCTTTAGCCTTGCTAGAGTTAATCATTCTCCTGAAGGCTCAGCCTTTAAGTTGCTCCTTCCAGCAGGACAAGTTCAAGCAGCAGCAGGAGATCAGCCTCTGCCTGGGGCAGGGATCCAAGCACCCAGTGCTGCAGGGGAAGGTGGGTGTCTTCTCCATTCTCCTACTGAGAGGTACTCACCGATTCAAAGAGCAGGGAGGCAAAAGCTCCCTTAGGGAACAAGCCATCTGCATCATCTTATCTCGCATTTCTCCATGTATTAGCAATCACAAGACAGAAGAGAATCTCAGTCGTCTGCATGTAATATTTTCCCTCTATGTATCGCTAGAATTACTGCCATAGCACAGGTTTTTATTGCTCTTGCTTACTAGGTATGGGCTGTTTTCTGCAACGGGGTTCAAAAATCAGTCCTAAAATCACTGCAGTGAACAGCACATGCAAAAACCTGAGATGTCTCTGCAGTTACAACCTGGGAAGACATAGCACCTTCCATAGCTGACCGGAGTTTTAGGTTTCTGGGATCCTCAGAGACTTCTGCTCTTGTGCAGACTCCTATGCTAACCGTGGCACAAGGGGTGGAATAAAAGCTGCTCGTCAGAGATGTAAGCAATTATTGCGCTATGTCACTGTGTGTGCCCTAATTTTTGTTGATACAGTATAGGAGCAAACAGGACAACCCGAGTTAAGGGGTGTCCCTGGGTACCCAGTGCTCCCAAGGCGACAGGATAGCATCATGGCCCGAATTTGCTCATCCCACTCCTGGTGCCCATCCCGAGGGCTCCCCCGTACCCCCGCGGTACCTGCAAGGTCTCCCGGCACACGTAAGCGATCTGCAGCTCCGACAGAGGCCCCGTGACTGCAAACAAACATCACAGACTCTGTAAGCTCAATACAGCCATGAAACTGGCAAAAAAAAGATATATTCACATGCAAAAGTTAAACAACATTTTCACATGAACTATATATCTTAATCTGATTTGAAAAGTGGGGTTTTTTTTAAACAGAAAGTCTTTCAGACATCTTTTTCTTCTGTCCTTTGCAATAACAGAACACAATACACATAGCAAGAAGAAAATCTGTTTTGGCAGAAATCTAACTAGCATTTTACAGATGTCTTGGTAACAATACAGTGTCTAACATCATATGTGAGGTAAAAAGCAGCAGAAATGAGTTCTGTTGATTTCTTAGTACTAAGAACATGGACGGTTAGGGGGCTATGGGACTTAGAATTGTCTTAAAACAATTTTTCAGCCATTTGGTATGATAAAGTAGAAACAGCTTTGGGATTTGAGAACTTTGTGCTATCGGCTGGAGGCAGAGGAAGTTCCCAGGCTGCTTTTCCAACCACTCCAATAAATCTTTCTAAGAATGAACAGCTTGGCATCTCAGAAGTAAAAATAGTCCTAAGAGTGGCAGGCTATTGTACAGGGACAGGAATAACAAAGTTGGTTTTATCCTTTTAGAATAAAATAGAGAGCACAATCAGCTTCCTCCCCCAATGCACCCTTTCTGGCTGGGGGGACTAGCACACAGGCCCCAGATCTGCAACACAGACTGCAGCTCTGCGTTCAGCACTGCCTGCATCTATCGGGTAGGTTTATTCTAGCACTATTGAAGCCCCTAATCAGCTAATTAGCCTGATTATGATGCAAACTTCTGGGGAGTTTTCTGAGAAAAGCAGATGAAGAACCCCTGCCCCGACCTGCCAAGGTGCTTGGTTGACCCAAGCTAGTGAACGCTGACGGCCAATGCACCATAAGGACAGACACTGCCACCACCTCCCAGGGAGAAATCAACCTCATTTTTTTGCTAAAAGCTTCTAAAAAGCATAAATGTAGCCAAAAGCCTTGACATACCATGGTAAATATCCTGGAGGGATCCGCCACCGCAGTATTCCATACATATCCACAGCTTCTCACGGCTGTCAAGAGTGAGTTAAAACACACGCATCAGAGCCAGCTGAACTGCATGCAGGACAGAGCTAATAACGGTCATTTAAACCATTCTTTGTCATTTATTAAAAGTAAATCTTCCAATGTACCATGAGCAGTTACACATTTTATGTTATAAAGAACCCCAACGTAACATTTTTGCTGCRATAAGTGAGGATTTGTGTCAGTTTTGGACAAGACTCCAACAGCTGATCAGATCTAAGGGATGTTGCTTTAACACTGAACTTCTAGCTTCAATAAAGAACAGGGAGGAGAAACACCAGAGATTATTAGCCAGATAACATGATTTAAACATATYAAAGCACAGTTTTGATCGTAAATTTAAATGATCTAAACAGTCTTTAAGAAATTCTTCCCGACTTTCAAAAGAGGGCTTGGGCATGCCGGAATTCAGCTATCTCGCTCCAGCTGAAGACCACTTGGTCGACTCAATTTACTTTAAAAATGCAGCCCTCCAAGAAATTTGAAGATTGAGCCTCAAATGAGAGAAGCAGTGAAATATATTCCCCACGAGCCTGCTGCTAAATGGCAGAATTCCACAGATATGGAAAATCTTTTTGCCAACTTTCTGCATAACTGTTAACGCGTGGCCTTGAGGAGGCAGCCAGCTGGCATCCCTCTGCTCCTGCCTTTCCGGGCTTGTTCGCATCCGTCACACCAGAGCTATGGAAAAGGTCTCAGACTCGGAGATCTTTGCTCTTACAGCTTGCTTACTCCACTTCCACAACACATAATATTGCTATTAAATAAACCTCCTAAAAGCATTTCTGCCGTAGATAAATAACGAGCTTATTTGATGTTAGGAATGGCAAACGGTTGAAATCTGCCCGGGAAGCGAGTAGGCTGGGATATGTTCTAAGAGCCCCGAGGGGAAAAGTTTCTTTCTGCTCCTAGTGATAAAAGTATTCCAGCCTTTGGGCCAGCACAAAAAGTAAAGTGTTAGTCACTTTATTTTTTAAAGTCAGCTGGGAACTGAAGGGGATCCAACCTAGAGATGAGCAGTGAGAGAGGATGTAATACCAATRATAATAATAAAATAGATAGAGCATTGCCTTAGGAAGGAATGAATAGAAATGCGGGTGATAAAGGTGAGGTTTACCTGAGATAGCTCCCGAAATAGGCTACGATGTTGCAGTGTTTGCATTCTTTCACCATATATATTTCCTGCTGTATCAAGGAAAAGTCATCGCCTGGAAAACAAGAGAGCAGCCGCCGTTACCGTCACTCAGCTCTAAAGGTCAGGGAGACGTGAAAGAATGTGCAAAATTCACCAAAAATATCCCTGATGTCCGAGCCGTGGGTTTGGACATCTGCTCATCCCTCCACAAGAGCTTTCCTGAATACTGGCCCGCTTGGAAAAAGGAAAAGCTCCTTGGTAGCCCTGTATGAGGATCAGATCCAGCTGGAGACTCTTGAGGGGCCCAGGAGTCCTGGGGATGATGGTAGAAATCACCCCGTGTGGAGTCCCCTGCGGGCACCAAGGAGGCCATGGGCCCTTCCAGAGGTCATTTCCATTTAAAAACACCTCCGATAAAGGCAATGGCCTGTGTAGGCTCACTGTTGCAYGCCTGGAGGAGAAGGGACCCCAGGCACGGAGCACAAGGGCGCTTTTAGATCACAACTGCTAAATAAGTGCATTTACATACCCTAAAATACCCTCTGTAAAGAAAAACAAAAACTACTAAAAAACATATTGCAGACAGAGCAATAGCCTAGAATACTTACACCACTTTAACTTGGGGAGGGTAAAGTTTAAAAATTGTTGTAAATTCCAATAAAAAAATCATTTTGTAGCGGAAAAGAGTAAATCTGCTGCCCCAAGCATCACCGCATCTCCTACCAAGGTGGGTGACACAGAGGTCCTCAACTCACAGCGTGGAGCTTGGCACCTTCGGAGCTTCATTCCACACACTATTAAGCGTGGAAGGAGGATGTCCCTCCCATATGGGCACCAGGGAGAGTTCAGAGAATCCCAGAAGGGCTGAGGTTGGAAGGGATCCCTAGGGATCACCCAGCACAGGCCCTGCTCCCGCAGGGACACCCGGAGCACGGGGCACCCGGGCGCATCCAGGCGCCTTGGGAAGATCTGCAGAGCAGGAGCCTCCGCAGCCTCCCTGGGCAGCCTGGGCCAGGGCTCGGNACCCGGGCGCATCCAGGCGCCTTGGGAAGATCTGCAGAGCAGGAGCCTCCGCAGCCTCCCTGGGCAGCCTGGGCCAGGGCTCGGGCACCCTCACACCAAACAAGTTCTTCCTCACGGSCACACGGAGCTGCCTGGGCTTCACCTTGTCCCCACTGCCCCTTGTCCTGGCACTGGCCACCACCCAGCAGAGTTTGGCCCCTTCCTCCCCTCAGATATTTGTACATATTGATACACATGGTCCAGAAGCATTCCCAGAGCAGCAAAACACTGTGTGTAGCAGCCAGACTTGCTGTCCAAATCCTACTAGCTGGAGTGTACGGAGCAACAAGGATGACAGAGGTCTGAAAGCAGGGATAATGGGAGAAATTGAGGAAAACATGGCTATCTGGAATAAAAAAAGACCAACAGCAGACATAATCCTCAGAGATACATGAGATACTGGGGAAGGAGAGAGGGAATAATCTGTTCCTCATGTCTATGAGGGGACAACTAGGGGATTAAACTGCCTGGACCTACATTCCTCATCCTCTGTTGGGAAACGCCTTCCATCTGCAATAGCAATGGAGCACTGAACTCCAGTGCCCAAAAGCTGTGAAATCTCGCACAGATGGAAAATTTGCAGGAAAAGATGGACAAGTCRCCATCAAAAAGTGACAAAGCTGATCCTGCCTTGCAGCAGGGAAGACCAAAGAGATGACCACTTGATTTGCAATGAATAAACTAATCACATCCACAGCAAATGGGGCTACCTACCAGAAATGAGGCATTTGGAAGGGGAAAGGGTCATGCGGGCTGAATATCGACAGGGAGCTTAATGCAGAAGCAGCAAACAGATGGAAAAAAGGAGCAGAGGAGAGCAGCAGCCACGAGAAAAGCTTGGCGAAAAGAGCCAGAAGATGCTGCCGAGCGATCAGAGCCTGAGATAGGGGAGAAGATGTATAGCGCTTTAAAGGCCAGAATGAACTCAAAACAGGGGAATTCAGAGTTTCCAGGCAGCTGGAATATTGCTCTTGGCAAGAAAAGCTGGAATAGGGCAAAAATCAAATATCAAAAAAAAAAAAAGAGTAAGACAAAGAATTTGTAAAAAATACTTCATCAAGAGGGAGACTTCAAGACGAAAAAAACAGTTCGCTCAAAGGTGACAATATACCCAGACAAAAAGATTTTCTTCTGCTTTAGTCATCAGAGCCGCGGGACTCTCCGTAACACGGAATTGGAAGAATGCACCCGGGTCTGCTCACATGTTTGCAATTAGGGGCTGTGCGGCCGCAGCAGCAGCGCCGCTGGGGGAGCTGCCGAGACGCCCCGAGCGCCGCGGGGAGGCCCTGCCCGACACGCTCGTGTCCCCTCGGCCCGCGGCGCCAGCTCCCAGATCCTCCCGGAGCTCCGGCTCCCAGTTCCTCCCGGAGCTCCAGCTCCCAGCGTGGGTTCCTCCCAGAGCTCCAGTTCCCAGTTCCTCCCGGAGCTCCGGCTCCCAGTTCCTCCTGGAGCTCCGGCTCCCAGTTCCTCCTGGAGCTCCAGTTCCTAGCTTGGCTCTTCCTGGAGCTTCGGCTCCCGTTTCCTCCTGGGGCTCCAGCTCCCAGTGTGGGTTCCTCCTGGAGCTCCAGCTCCCGGTTCCTCCCAGAGCTCCATCTCCGAATGCGGCTCCTCCTGGAGCTCCGGCTCCCGGTTCCTCCTGGAGCTCCGGCTCTTGGCTCCTCCTGGAGCTCCAGTTCCTGGCTCCTCACAGAGCTCCGGCTCCAGGTTCCTCCCGGAGCTCCAGCTCCCGGCGCAGGTTCCTCCTGGAGCTCCAGCTCCCAGCTCCTCCCAGAGCAGGGTTCGCGCTGCCCRGCACAGCAGCTGCTCAGGAGCTGCAGGAGCTGAGCGAGGTAAAGCCCTGTAGGCTCCTGCTCGGGCTGTGTTTAAGCGGCCTCTCATTCTGGCTCAGATGAGGCCGGGCTGCTGTGGATGTCCTGCCACGTTATCCAGGCTGGAGAGCATGGGAATGCTGGAGCCACGTGCCCAGCGCGCAGCCCGGGGAGGATGTGATGGGCTGTGCGTGCAGGGATGAAGGAAGGGTCTCCTGCGCAGCTGGACYGCCCTGGGCCACCCTGCAGGGCTCCGAGCGCCTCCGGGCCCTCCAGACGAGTCTCCAGGCAGCTCCCTGAGAGCAGCTCCCACGCCAGGCCTCYGATCCACCCATCCTGGCACCGTGAGGGCTCCGTTGCTGCCCCTGGGGGAGAGGTTCACAGACCCACACAATGGCTGAGGTTGGAAGGGACCCCTCGGGATCCCCCAGCGCAGCCCCTGCTCCAGCAGGGACACCCAGAGCACGGGGCACCCGGGCGCATCCAGGCGCCTTGGGAAGATCTGCAGAGCAGGAGCCTCCGCAGCCTCCCTGGGCAGCCTGGGCCAGGGCTCGGGCACCCTCACAGGGAAGTTCTTCTTCCTCAGTTCTTGCCCCATACATAGGTTTGGGTCACAGCAGAATTTGCTGCCCGCCTTTCTCCTCCATCCTGGTCCTCAGACACCTTCCACGCTCCGCTTAGGCAGCCCGGCACGCGGCACCGCTGGGGAGCTGCCCCTACATCTTTTGGGGCAGGCATTAATGCAACATCTCATTGCCCAGCTCCAACTGCTGCCAGATGCCAAATTCCTGCTTCCTTGGCTGCTCCTTGGACCGGCAGGGTTGTCTCCTCCAACCCTTGGGAGTGTGAAACTGGGAATGGTCCTGGATCTTCACATCTCTAAGGAGGAGGATAACATAAAGCACAGGCAAGCATCAGAGCTTTCTGCGCCTGCCTCGTCCTGGGATTCGGGGAAACRTGCAGCCTGACAGAATGGAGTTAAATCTCCAAGACTTGACACACAGAAATTCAGTTCCAAGTGTGTGCAGCTATGGGGAACGGATGATCTTCCCACCAGGAATCGGCCTTTCCACAAGCACCCAGCCGCCGACGGCTGAAGCGTGATGGTGCCGTGGGGCTCCCGACGGCCCCGYGCTGCGTCCCAGGTCCTGTGGCCCCTCAGAGCCTCTCTCTGCACCTTCCCACTTCCCATTTCCCATTCCCTCTTCCTGCCCTCCCCAGCTGTCTCCGCACAGTTCAGCTGTTCACGATCCCAAACCCAGCGCCGTCTCCACGCTGCTCCCGCTTTCCTTCAAGTGTTTCCCGAGGGTCCTGCTCCGACTTATCAGCACCGCAGCAGGCGGCAGCCCCGCTGTCCGCAGGTCCCGCATGATGCCCCAGCTCCTTCCCCCTTCCCCGGCCCTTCTCCATCCACGGAACCTGCTTCCACGCGGGAAGGGAGCGCAGCCGCTCAGGCTTCCCGCATTCTGGGGCAGGAAGGACCCATTTGAAACACACCATAAGTGGGCAAATAAAAATTAGAGCAGCTTTCGAAACACAAGTTAACTAGAGTGAAAAAGCTGCGTGCTCTGGCAGCAGGTATTCGAACAGCTCTTGAAATGCAGCATTGCCCAGGCCACAGCTCCGGCCTGGGACACCCAGCCGGCTGCTCCAGCCTTTACGGAGCTCTCCTGGGAAACGCCATCCCGACCGAGCCGGGAACTCACCGTGGGATCCTCCCGCAGAGGCCACGCGCTGCGATGAAGCACCAGCCCTGCCCAGCGCCAACGGCCTCTCAGCTTACGGTTCATCATCCTAAGAGCATTTACAGTGGACATCCAGTAAATTTGGAGATATTTTACTTATTACTTTTCCCAGGGAGAAAGCTCTGCAGGCGGGACACATCCTCCCGGTACAGTTATCCCAATACAGTTGTCTCCCTGTGTCCCTGAACCCACTCAAGGCAGCAGCTTTTGCCTCTCAGACCGTTCTGGCTTTCGCGCTGCTGAGCACAGTTGGATTCGTTTCCAAAACAGAATTGGCTCTCAAATTATTTGAAGCATTTGTGCTGGGAGGATGCTGGGAAAAGCCGTTACCGCGCCATAAGACTTTTGCCTAATGCTCTCCGAAGTCTGTGCCAAAAAAAAAAAAGGGAAAAATACGGTCTATTTTGATTCTGTGAGCATGGCTTAAGTGAGTGCGGCAGCAGAACCAGCCCATAAATTCAAACAAATTCACGGCCAGCTTGGTAAATAGAAGAGCTTGTTTCCTTTGCTCAGAGAAAAGACGCAGCAAAGTGACAGGCAATGAAATAAAATAAAAAATCAGCTGATACCCCAGAGGGCTGCGCCACCATCCAGAGGGACCTGGACAGACTGGAGGACTGGGCGGCGAGAAACCTCATGAGGTTCAACARGGRCAAGTGCAGGGTCCTGCACTTGGGGAGGAATAACCCTGGACACCAGTACAGATTAGGGGTGGACCTGCTGGAGAGCAGYCCCGCAGAGAGGGACCTGGGTGTCATGGTGGACGACAAGTTGACCATGAGGCAGCAGTGTGCCCTGGTGGCCAAGAAGGYCAACGGGATCCTGGGGTGCATTAAGAAAAGCGTCTCCAGCAGGTCGAGGGAAGTGATCATCCCCCTCTACTCAGCCCTGGTGAGGCCACATCTGGAGTAGTGTGTCCAGTTCTGGGCTCCCCAGTACAAGAGTGATGTGGAGCTGCTGGAGAGAGTCCAGCGCAGGGCTACCAGGATGCTCAGGGGCCTGGAACATCTGCCCTGTGAGCAAAGGCTGAGAGAGCTGGGTCTGTTCAGCCTGGAGAAGAGGAGGCTGAGGGGGGACCCGAGCAGTGTCTATAGATACCTCAAGGGAGGCAGTGAGGAGGAGGGGCAGGCCTCTTTGCAGTGGTGGACACCAGTGGGACTAGAGGAAACAGTCACAAATTGAAGCACCAAAAGTTCCACAGGAACTTAAGGAAACATTTCTTGGCAGTGAGTGTGCCCAGCCCTGGCCCAGGCTGCCCAGGGAGGCTGYGGAGGCTCCTGCTCTGGAGATCTTCCMAACCCGCCTGGATGCGCCCGGGTGCCCCGTGCTCTGGGTGTCCCTGCGKGWGCAGGGGTTGGACTAGATGATCTCTAGAGGTCCCTTCCAACCTTAAGGATTCTGTGATTCCATGAAAATACACAGTGATGCTGGGCTCTTGGMTGTAAGTCCCACTTACTACTGGTAGTAGCTGCAGGGGCCACACAAGGGACCCTGACTCACCCACACCCCCTGTTTTGGGGGCACTTCTGCTGGAGCTCCCCTCCAGTGCCTCTGCTTTTGGACGTTAACCTGGGGCAGCTCTTACCTCCCAGGGCTCCCGAGCCCTCCGCCCTGGTGCCAGCTCTGCACTGAGGCAGCCATGGAGCTGGGAACTCTTCTTTTCCCACCCGCTGATTAATTCCCACCTCTGAGCCACCTCCTCCTCCCCTCCGGAAGGGGCTGCATGTTACTCATGTAACTCGGAGGGTGACTAATTCGGGAGATTGTTACCAGGCTCTCCGGCTGCGCTGCGGGGGCTGAGAGGAGCCCGCGCTGCTGCTGAAAGGGRCTGTGCTCCTGCAAGGCGCCCAACGCTGGCTGCGCACGGACCTGCTCCTGCAAGCGGAGTCCTCAAAAGCTGCTCAGACCCCTCAGGACTAATCACAACGTTAAATATAAGCTCKCATAAGCAGCAACTCATTTTTGCAATCCATAGGAGTTTGAAGTGCTGGGTCTTTCTGCAAAGCTGCTGCAGCCCAGCTGCCCTGCAGAGCCCACAGATCTCCMTGAGAATTAAAGATAAATAAAGAAAAGCTGCAAAGCATCCCTAGAAACAAAGCAAAACCCAGCGAGGCCCCTGCCAAGAGCCAGGCCACGGATGGAGCTCAGGCCGGCAGGGCTGCGGGGAGCTCAAAACAGAGCTGAAACAAAACGGATGACACAGGAGCACAGGAGCAAGCGTTTCCCCGTGGCGAGCGGAGGGGTTCACGGAGCCTCCAAACGAGCTCCCTTCCTCGTGAATCCGGCCCCGCTTTGAGGCAGCTCCACGCTGCAGACCTGGGCCCACCACGAAGGCGCCCGCAGCCACGGGGAAGTGGGGCTCGAGGCAGGACGTGGCGAGCACGAGACACGAGACCTGCCTGAGCCACTGACATGGGGCGGCTTCAGCACCGGCAGCGCCGGCTGCCCCTTGCCTGCGCCCRCATCTGCGCCCGGCGCTTCAAGAGGAGCAAAGAGCAGCTCAAGCATCAGGCTCAGCCCCTTTTCTGTTTATTCTCTAGGATTTCTCAAGTTCTTCTGATAGAAGAAAAGAAAAAACTGTTGGATTTCACAAACTTCTAAACACTTAAAAATCTCTTGGAAATGATGAGCTCCGCTCAAGGGAAGCCTCGTGCCCTGCGGGCCGGAGACAAGGCTGCTTTCCTTCAGGGAGCAAAATCCCACGTGAAATCCTCCAGGATCCGTTTCCAAAAGAGCCTTCCCATCACTCTGAACACAGGGCAACAGAGACACTCTCATATGCCTTCTGTAACAGTTCATGTTTACTGTACTTCAGAAGAAAACAATGAAAACACCYTAAAACACCTTGCAGAGTGGGAAGGAAAAGCATGAGAGGAGGAGAATTGGTTCCACATCTTATTTGTAAAGAAGATGAAGTGGTTCTGAGCTCTTCCCCCCACATTTCCCAACCACTGGCCACACGATGTACGTGGACTCACGCTGCCTTCCTCTCCTACTTTATAAACGGCACCTAAGTCTTCCTGATGGTGTAAACTGAGAGGTAGAAAACACGGGGTCTCCAGGCTGAACAGGAACAGGAGAGCTGCTCCAGGCCCCTCAGCATCTCTGTAGCCCTGCGCTGGACCCTCTTCAGTAGCCCCACGTTCTGTCTTCTTGTACTGGCGAGCCTAGAACTGGGCCCAGGACCCTCAATGTGGCCTCCCCAGGGCTGAGCAGGGGCACAGTCACCTCCCTGGACCTGCTGGCCACGCTCCTCCTAACGCACCCAGGACACCACGGGCCTTCTTGGCCACAAAGGCGCGTGTGCCACCAGGCTGGTCACCCAGTTTTGGACACAAGACCTGCACGTGCTTAAGCTGGCCAGGACTCTCGAGTCTTGGCACAGTCTGTTAGCCAGGATGTAACAGAAAGCTAGAAAAAGCTACGTAATAAACCACCAGCATGGGCTTGGCTCCCAGGACAGATATGTTATGAGAGACCAGGTGAAGAGGAAGCACCAGGGACGTAAGACACGAGCAGGCACCTCTTGGTGGTCACCAGCCCATGCCACGAACCAAAGACAGGCAAAGGAGACCATATATTTTTAGAATAAGAAGTAGGAAAATAGCACATGCACCTCACTTGCTCGCAATGTATTGACTCAAAGCTCYTCTTCAAAATGAAAGTCTTAAAACCTGACCAGTCAAGAACAGACGTTGCTATTAGGGACTGGAGAGCACGTTTCTGTGCTGCCCTTCAAAACCCAGGCTCATGAAGGCCTTGGGCTGCCAGGGCCCTGCGGAGGTGCCAGCTGGCCTCGTGCTGGGCTCAGACAGGGGGCTCAGTGCTTCTGAAACCCATCCCCGATAGGGATCCCATTTTCCCTCCACTGCAGAGCTACTCTCCCCATGGAGAACTGTTTTCTGTGTCCACCTRGAACCTTCCCTGGTGCCTCTCCAAGGGGCAAGCTCCACCTTCTCTCCCCTTGGCCATGGCAGACACCAGTCAGATCCCTCCTGGGCCTCCTCTTGCCCAGGCTGAAGAACGCTCCATTCCCTCAGCCTCTCCCACAGCCACGTGTCTTTGCTCATCTCCGCTCTTTTTCCCTCTTTATGAGCCTCAACTAATTCCCCGTAGCACTCCGGTCACGTAAGTTAGGCCCCTGTGACTCCATAAATCCCACCGCTCCGCAGCTCCCTATGCCAACTAAGCAGCAGTGTCTGGCTTGGGTCCCAGGGTGCGGGTGCTGCKACGTGGGCATCGAGCGAGCCCAGAGCCAGGGCCTCCCCCAGGGCCGMATCCTGAATGGACATGGCCCCGGAGGGCAGGCAAACGGCAACTCCGGGGAGCCTAACAGGGTGAAGAGACACGGAAGAGGATTACACCAAGGAGGGATTTGATCTGACAGGCATTCCAGGGAACACGTGACGGGAGATTATTTCCTCACACAAAAGGAGATGCTCAGGTGGGACAGCGGTATCACTGAGGACTTAAGAAGCTCCTCTCCTTGTTGCCATTCGGGGCCACTTTGTGATTGCAGCTCTCCCGCAGGACCCAGATGAGGCTTCAGCTCGGCACGGTCCCCTTCACCTCGGGGACAAAGCCAGCTTACCTCAAGGACAGAAGGTACAGGTTGAACCTTCGTCCTAACAGCCCTGTCATTGTGGTCGCCGTACGAAGCAACAGGCAAGGCAGGCAAGAATGAACACGGAAACAGCAAGCAGGACATAACAAAAGTCACGGCACATCCTGCAGCGCTTCCTGCGTCGAACAGCTGGAGATGCAGCAGATAACGCTTACACTGTGTGGGACTTTGTAATCTTGTGAAAACAAACATACAGAAAATTTGCAAGTGTTTCATGACAACAAACACACAACCCAACCGTGCAGGGAAAGGATGCAGAACTCACCAGGCTCTAGCTTGATTATTTTTACAGCAGCCAGCTCTCCCGTGTGAAGATTTCTAGCCTGAAAGAAAAGAGGTAAGAAAAGAGGTAAATTTAATCACTGCAAAAGCATCATCTCACCCRCTCCTACAAGCTGGGAAAGGGGCTGTGCTGATGGCACAGGTCACAAACACAGCCCGGTGCAATTAATGAGCGCAGCCTGGGTGCAGATTAGCTGCTGTTTGCACCGCGCCGGCCTCGCTGGAGCTCCCAAGTGCTCCCGGCTGCTCTTYATGCAGCTCAAAGAGGCAGCTCTGCGGTTGCTGAAGCGGAGCCGTCGCTGCCCGCGGCGCGGAGCGCTGCCRGAGCGCGAGCGGGACGCGGGCAGGAAGGGAAAGCGGCTGCAGAGGCAGCGCCCGGGGGCCCCGGGAGCCCCCCGCCAACAACCGAGCTCCCCGCGGCGCCTCGCACGGGTCTCGGCATCCCGCTCCCTCGGCGGGAGGACGGATACGCGGGGGAAGCCGTTACAGCAGYGCCAGATATAGAAAGTTTTTAAGAGGGGATTTCATTAATGTTGTTAACTCTAGTAAAACGAGCTCTAAATGACCCGGGCACCGTCACCACGGCTCAGCTTTATCATTTTTGACACACAACCTAAGCCAATTAGGCACTGTGGCATTCCCTTTCCACCGGGCATCCGAAAGGAACAAGAGTCTAATCCCAACTCTTATTCTTACCATAACAACAGGCAGAGTCCTCTGAGCACGCAAGAACTGGTTAAGAGGGATAGGAAACCTGGTTTAGGCTGGACTTGTGCAATAGATGTGGGCAAGGATTTAGCATGAGAACACACAGTGAATTTCTCCCTGTGGATTGAAATGAAGGAAGCCACTACAGAATGAAACACTTTCCTGTTATATAAGACCGAGAAGYTTTAATTTAACAGCAGGTAGAGCGAGACCTTGAAAGGGGAGCCCCTCAACGTGGCCGAAACTTAGTGAAGCTTCCACACGAGGCCGGTTTCCAGGAGGGAAGGACTGAGCGGCCCTGTCAAACACTAGCTCCACGCTTGCTCGAGGAGAGCCCAAACGGGGACAAAGAGGAGCTGAGCGACGGCGCGCGCCGAACAACGGCAGCAAACACAGCAAATCAGTGACACAGCAGCAGCGTTATCTGCTAACCGCAAAGGAAACCTTCACCACTTCTGAAAGTACCTTCTGGAGGGGGAGGCTTCTGAGACACCAGCAAAGGCACCTGCACTCTCCAGCAGCCAGCAGGAGTGGGTATCCCAGCACGGATGTGGGATTCGGATCTGTCCCACCCAGCAATACCACTGTGAAATACTGGGCTCCACAGGGGAGCAAGACGAGCCTCCAGCTGGAGCCAGGGAAGCTCCGTGACCCGTTTTCTATCCAGCAGCAGCTCAGCTGTCTAGATAAAGCAGAGAGATAGCTCTGTTTGCAGGAGCTCAGCCTCATTTCTGAAATACACACACCCAAAGGGGTTATATTCCTCCCCGATACTCCCTTTCCATCCAAGCAGCAACCGCCGCCGCTGCTGTTACGCTGCAGTCTGGAAGGGCGGCTGCAGTCGGCCGAAGTCGGCAGCACTCGGGCTGCCTGGCCGGGACTCRAAGCCTCGGGCCAGAAGGAACACGGGCAGGCAGCGGCGCCGGCCCCAGAGCCAGCCCTGCCGCACGCCGGGATCGCTCCACGCTGCCGCACGCCGGCATGGCTCCTCACTCTGCATGCTGGGATCGCTCCATGCTTTTGCACGCTGGGATGGCTCCACTCTTCCACACACTGGGATCGCTCCACACTTCCACACGCCGGGATTGCTCGACACTTCTGCACACCGGGATCACTCCATGCTTCCGCACATCGGGATCACTCCACGCTTCCGCACACCGGGATCACTCCATGCTTCCGCACGCTGGGATCGCTCCACACTTCCGCATGCCGGGATCACCCCATGCTTCCACACGCCAGGATCACTCCACGCTTCCACACACCAGGATCGCTCCACGCTCCACATGCCGGGATCRCTCCACACTTCCACACGCCAGGATCGCTCCATGTTTCCACAGGCAACTTGTGGCCCAGCACAGAGGGCTTCGCTTCTCAGCTGCTAGAACGGGGAGATCTCCACCAGGTTGGCACTCGTGGCCTGAACGGAGCCAGTCCCGGAGCGCCTGCCCAAGACCCGYGGCTTTTCCCTGTGATACGGCAGCACCACATCTCCCCTCGCTGACACCCAGCTCCTCACCTCTTCATCCTCCACGACCTTCCGCCAGGTAAAACATTCCTCAGTAATGGATCGCCGCTGACTCGGCAATCATTAAGATCATTAAGGCAGCTATGGGCAGAACCTGGTTGCCCCAGGACGGGACAAGGTTTGCAAACCGCCCGGGGAGGACCTCTCCTTTCCCGCGGTCCCAGTGGCGCTGCTGCCTCGTGGGCCCAGCCTCGATTTCACTGCAAACGAGACGTGACAAAATCTAAGTTACCCCTAACCTCCCTGATGCGAGGAATTCCTTTACGGTCTTCCTATTTGTTTTTTGATATACTTCTGTACTGGAGAAAAAGAAAAGTTGAAGTCAAGCTAAAGAAACTACAGTTTTTCCAAGTCATTTTAGTGACATTTTTTAAATTTTCTAAGGACAAAGTATTTGTCTTCTTCCAGTTCCCTGAAACTTCCTCAGCATTTTCTGACCTCTAAATTAGCTCAAACCATCCCGAGACCAGGGTAGGACTTTAAAGCACCTGAATGCCAGTAATGCAGAGCTGCCAATTACCAAACAAGCTGCTTCAACTGCTGCTGCTCTTTTTGCTCTTTTCTTGGCCTGTTATTGATTTAAGTGCATATAGAAAATCCACATCCACACATTATCACATCCACAAYGACAAACAAACACCAGCACAACGTTGAGCAGGGACGGTGGTGATGGGTCTACGGTTGCACTCGATGATCTYGAAGGTCTTTTCCAACCACAGTGACTCTGTGATGTCCCCCAGACACGGCAGGCCTTGCTCAGTGCCTTTGGGGGCAATGCACTGACACCCAAAAATAACCAGAAACAGCCAAAAATAATACAGAGAAAACAAAAGGACCGGCTTGGGGAACGGTTACGTACTTCAGCTGTATGCACTTTGAGGCAGGAAAGCAAGACACTATCACTGCAGGATCCACAGGGCTAAGTCGCGTGAAGATGGACGGAAGCAGAACTCTTGACCTTCTCAAGTGCAACCACCTACATCCTGCATTTCCCCATCYAGCCAGCCTCTCCTTCACACCAAGGAAGAGAAGGGGAAGAGTCAGGCACCAGCATCACTCTCACAACCTCCAAGCCAGTATTTTCAGTTTCCACGGTGCCACCCTCTCCTCACCTCTGTCTGATTTCTGGCCTTGCATCAACACTCCAGTTCCCAGAAGACCCATCTGTTCAACAGGGTCTTCCTTTCACCTAGTCCTAACTGCAGCTCCAAAGCCAGGTTTCCATCTTACCCCTTCCTTGCCAGGCTGCACGTGGTGACCACKATGTCCCAGTCAAACCCAGGGCCTGATGCCTCCTCAGTTCCTGCAGATACCCTCAGAACGCAGCTGACCCTGCCCGGCTACTAACGGGGTAGTTTCTGACCTGCCTTCTGGTTTCTGACCTCTCTCACTGCACAAGCCCTGCCCTGCTCCATGACTCTGTGATGACCCCAGACATGGCAGGCCCTGCTCGTCACCTTACAGCTCTTAGACCCGCACGGATGAAGCTCCCTGAAGCTGACCCCGTGACAACCCCCTGCACGGAGCTTCCCACCACGTCCTCAAACACAGACACAACACGACATGGGTAGGACATGGTCTACGGCCAATAGAAACCAGGAATAACAGAAATACAGTAATATAAAAACTAAAAATAACCAGAAACAGCCAGAAACTGCAGCAATGGGCTCCATATCTCTACCAAGTTTTGGAGGTTCCATTGCTTGTTTGGGTGTTCTGGGGGCAATGCACACACGTATGCACAGACCTAGCTTAAGAGGAGCATAAACCGATCCCCTTCGCATGAGTTTTGAGGTGCTGTATTTCACAGAAAAGAGATACTTCAACCTCATGCAACCCCACAGGGCACTAGGAGAGCACTTCCGCGAAAGCAAATACTTTCCGAAAGCCCTTTTAAAAACAGAACAAAACAAAATGTGCAGCTAGGGGCAATCCCAGACACGGAGCCCCGCTCCAGAGCCCCACCTGGACAGGGCCYAGGCCTCTCTGCCTCCGCTCGCCCGACCCCAGCGCCCACCCGGCCGCACGCACCGCAGCCGCGGGGCTGCCATCACTCCGCAGCTAAAGCTTGGGCTTGATTTGCTTTTATTATAAAGCCAACCCAGCAAAACCAGCCCAACATCCACCGAGAGAACCCAAAGGACAGGCTGGAACGAAGCCCTCGCGCCAGCACTCGGAGCGTCTCCACGACGGATGCTCAGCGGGTTATTCTTTTCCATCACGCAGGGAGCTCTGTGAATATATCAAACATTAGAAGCACAAAGAGAAGAGGCCAGCTTAGAAGCAACGTGGAGCAACGAATATCCACGCAGATCATCCCGCACGGCTCCGGGGCAGCTGTTGGCTCCGCTGCCCGCCGTGCAGCTGSGTCAGCGCGCGGTGCCAGGCGCTTTTCCAGCGCAGCGCGCGGAGCCCTGCACAAAGCAGCGCCTCACAGAGCCCCGACAGACGCCGCGCGCTGCAAAGGGACCGTCCCGCAACTGTCACCATTGCTGCGTTCCAGAAAAGCCACAAGTGGAGATTCACGGGCTGCTTTTTCTTTTTTCATGTGCTTTTCTGAACTGCTAGTTCATGGCGGGAGAGCAACGGCACGGGCTGCTGCAGCCCAATATTCATCAGAGCTAAATATTGATCCTCTGCCAACAGAGATGTCCAACCTGGTGAATGATCCGTGCAGAGATATGTAGAGACCCCGCGAGCTGGTGAACAATCCGTGCAAGCACAAAGCAGAAGTTGCCCTTCACAGCTGTCCCTCCTACTTCCACATTTACAGTACTAACACCTTTGCCTTGCTCAAGAGGCAAACAT